GAAAAAAAATTTTTTTGACCAATCGATTTCACAGAGAATCGGCCATATATTTAAGACAATATTTGTTCCTAAATTTGGTTAAAATATTGATTTTTTAGCATTTAATAAAAGCACTATTGCTTTAAAAAAAAAATTGAATGAGATATTAATGTGGGACATGTAAAGTATGGGAAAAAAACAGAAATCAAAGAAAATTTTATATACTGATATATTTATTCAATAAACAACATGAAAAATGTACAAAAATCAACAACAGCAGACATTTAAAACCACCAGCTTCATCCTATTCCCAAAATGGCTTAATTGCTCTCGGTGTCAAGGCATCTCTCACGAGGTCCTCCAGCTCCGGGAACTCGTCCCGCACTCGCCGGTAGAATCTCTTCACCACCTCCTCGCACAGATGCCTGTCGCAGGCCTCGAACAACGGCCCCGTCGGAAGTCGCCACAATTTTTCCGACTCGGCCAGATTGAAGTACGTAGCGTACGTGACTCGTTTCATCGCCACCTCCTCGGGTCGCAGAAACATCAGCTCGTGGAGGGTCAGGTTCGGCCGGACCATCGTCACCTTGGCCATCGTGGCGAATCCCACGCTGCTGTCGAAGTGCAGCATCGCGGCGTTGGCGGACAATCTGTGGACCAATGCATTCCGGTTGAACAAAGTCGTGATCGTCCTGGCATCGTTGGCCTTTAATCGGTAGCCGTGCTTTTCCAGCCGCTCCAGGCAGGCCAGCACGCCCGAGGCCAGTTTCAGCCTGTGAAGTCCGATTCGACGCTTGGCGTGCCACTCGAAGCACTGGTCGAAGTGAGTGTAGCTCGGGAACCTGAAGCCGGACAGATCTTCGTCGAGTTGCAGGAGTCTCTCGACCAGTTGCGGCTGATGATTCGCCACGGCCCACTCGAGTGGTGTACGGCGCCTGTTGTCCCTTGAGTCGATCTGCACCACACGATCGATTTCGCCGCAGACTCTGAGCAGCGTCTTGGCCAAGTCGTCGGCGGGTAGTCGTCTCCGGCTGATGCAGTGCATGGCGGTGGTTCCCTCGTTGTCGGGTGTGTTGGGATCCGCGCCTCGTCTCAGCAACAGCTCGATCACGTCCTCATCGCCGTGGTACAATGCGTAATGCAAAGCAGTTCGTCCTTTCAAGTCCCGGGCGTTGACCGGACAGTAGCCGGCCATGGCGTCGAGAATCTCCTCGATCGATTTGCTGTCGTAATTTCTTCTGCACATCAGGTGCAGTGCTGTCAATCCCATCTCGTCGATGGCATTCGGCTTGGCGCCTTTCTTCAGAAGCAGCAAGGCCGACTTCTTGTCCCTATGGTTCAGAGCCACCAGCAGAGGTGTCCGACCCCGATCGTCCACGGCGTCGATATTGATCGACTTTCTAAATTGTTTGTTGACTTTCAAGAACATCTTTACCAGATCGTCGCGGCTTCTCTTGCAAAGGTCGTGCAAAGCCGTCTCTCCCTCGGCGTTGGTCAACTGTGGGTCGGCGCCTCTCATCAGCAGGAAGTGAATGATCTCCTTCTCGCCCCACTGCGCCACCAAATGCAGAGGCGTTTGACCCTTTCCCCGCCACGGAAGATTGGAATCTTGGCCGTGGTCGAGAAATTCCTTGACGAATCGCTCGCAGCTCTTGAACATGCACGCCACGTGCAAGTGAGTCAAGCCCGACTCGCTCGCGTAGTTCGCGTCGAATATGGGATAGATTCGAAACAGATGGCCG